GCCCGGTCGATGGTCGTTTGTTGTCACGGCGACGAGAGCTGGTACCGGCAGACGAGGCCTCAGTTGAGTCGGCGGACCGTTTCCAACGAAGGGAGCCTCGGTTGTCTGAGAAGGGAGGGAATCAGAGTCTGGAGTTGCCGAGGGTGATGTTGCTGCCTCAGCACCATACACGCCTGGTGGAGTTGGGCACCAGTGACCTGTCGTTGGCCACATCGAAATCTCGGCAAGACTGGCTCCGCAAGGCTGGCCGGCCGGTGATGAGGGATAGACGGAATGTACATGTGTCGGGCGCTGATGGGGCTGATGGAGTCCGTTGACGACGAGGGTTGTAGTGGCGTCGATCTGTCCCATGAGGCAGTTGTGTCCGAGGCTACGGCTCGCCGGTCCGTCCGGTTGCTCCAAGACCTCGGGAGTCAAGAGGCCTGGAATCACGGTAGACAATGAGGCTGGGTGTATTCCATCTTCACCGTATCGTGCTCGGATGTAGCCGGGTCCTAGGATTTCCTCTTCTCTAGCATACGGAATGGGCAGACCCCAACCAGTGGGCCTTTGTTGGCCGGACTCATCGTCGAAATGCCGTCGAACTGACGCATTCGACCAAATCTGATTGCAAGGAAATGCTTGTGGATAGGCCAAAGACGCTGACGAGCACATGTTCAAGTAAGAATCAGATACAGAAGAAGAGACGAAAGAGGTGTGGTTGGACGGCGACTGTGAAGTCGAGGGTAGATAGTCACAAGAAGATGCCGGCAACAGCGATGATGATGATGATGATGAAGAAGAGGAGGAGGAGGAGGAGGAGGAAGAGGCGGAGGGTACCAAAGTGGAAGTGGGTGCCGTCAGGTTCTGACGCCCGCCGAGCTGCCCATGTAATTCTGTAATAAGCGAGGGAGCCAGAAAGTCGGCGTCACGACGTACAGAAAAGGGATTCTGAGAGGCCAGATTGTCGAGATCGGCTCGTGGAACAGGTGGAGTAGACGTATGACGAACAGGAGAATCGGCCAGCATCCGCGCCGACAAACCAGCCAGATGC